ACTCACATTGTTTTGGAAAAGAACCCACTCCAATACCAGTACTGTATACTTAATTTTCCTAAGTTCAATGAACTTTACATTAAATGTGTTCGTTTACTTTTCCAGTAAAAACTACTCAGTATCATCCTATGAGAGTGTTTACTCTATATATACAGCAGTTCGTCCACTAGAAAGTGTTGTATGAAAATATGTCAATGTCCCATCTGAAGTATTGGAAATGTCATGACATTAATGGTCTGTTCCAGTACTTTTTTAATAGTAAATCTAGTAAAAGGGAAACATTTCAAAATTGCTCTCAGAGTACAAAATAAGTCTTGATTTAGATTAGACGAGTTTACTTGCGGCAATTCTTGTCGTTCTCTTTTGAACTTGCTTCATGCGATTATACAAGGCAATTCGGTTTCCAAAATATTTTTCTATTTGTTGTTTTTCAAATTTAAAACTATATAAAATGTCAACAAATACGAAATACACAAAACGAATTGCCAGAAAATTGTCGGTACGAGCAATTTTTTTCATTTCTATTCCCCTTGCCCCTCTCTCCTACAAACAAAGACTTGCCGCAAGTAAACTCGCCTAATCTAAATCAAGACTAATTTGAAAAGTTCGGGAACGCAAATCTAGTAGTTATGCCAAAATTAGATGGCAATACTTCAAAATCAACACAACAGCCAATCAGAAGTAGGCATTCCTGTTCACCATTTTTACTCGACCAAATTTCTCGAGTAAAAAGTTTTCAAAGAGAAAGCCATTTTGTTTTGTGCTCTCTTAAATTTGAGTCAATGTTTTACCAGTTGTGTGGGTTGAGGAACGGTTTTCGAGTAAAAAGTTGCATAACATGTAAAATGAGTGGATTCTTTTAGGTTCTGGAACGGAACTTAAACTAACTGTACAAATTGCTATTAGCACTAGAGAGACTGAAAGAAGAGAAGTCAAAAATATTTTTTTAGAGTTACAACGTTACCTAAAATTCAACGAGGCGTCGAAAATATTCAACTTCCCCATGGCGAAATGTTTTGTTTCATGTTACCGAAATACGTCGACGTATATAAATACATGTATTCTACTTTTGTGGTGAAAAATGTCGAACGAGCTAGTTGAATTTTAGGTAGGGCTGATATATATACTCAGTATCATGGTACAATAAATAGGTAGTCCATTTAGAGCAGCTGATGTCTCGATTATCTGTCGAAGTGCGTAATTTCTACTTGCATTCGATGTGCAGTGTTGCCAACCATATGAAATAATATAAGGAAAAATTTGACAGATAATCGAGACAGAAACAAGGGTTTTTGCTTTGATACATCACCTTATTATTGCATCATCCTCAGTATCATCCTATCAGGAAGTTTACAATTATCTATGCATATGTACAACAGTTAGTCCACTAGGAATTGTTGTAAGAAATATAAAAATATAATATCCGTCACCACATCCGTGAACAAAAAACAAAAACATCAAAAGAGACTACTTTTAAATATCGAATATACTCGACAAAAACACTGAAAGAGTTAACATATGCCAAGCCTTATATAAGGTCGGACAGTAAGCTGGGTATAAAGTTTGTGGTCAAATCATATTTTGGAACCTATCCATACATACACAATTATGTTAGACGTCAAGACGAAAATATTAATATTTTGTCAATTCGTATGGGGAACTAAGTAATTACTTCATAATTAAGGGTCGAACAACGAATGAGAGAGCGAACAACGCTCGTCTGTACATGGCATTACAAAATTATATAATGTGTTGTGTTTTTTATTTAAAGGTGAAACAATTAGTTTTCTCTATGAATTCTCTTACTGACCGACCTTAGTACAGAAGAGCATTGTTCACTCTCTCATCGTTGTTCGACACTTAATTATGAAGTAATTACTTAGTTTCCCATACAAAAATTTCTGAGCGAACACCGACTTTTGTACATTGTTCAATTGGAACCACTCTCTATTTAACCAAGAAAACTAGAATTAAAAGTAAATAGATATGGGTTTATACAATTTTGTATACACTGCGTATCATAACTATAGACGCACCTCTAATTCAATTGGTATGTTAGTTGACAAATCAAATGGACCCATTAAGTTATTGTTCACAATAAAACGATCAAAAACACATATTATTCAACAAAAATAATTAATTTATTCTTTATGGTTTCGCCGAATTCTGCACTTTCAAAATTGCTGGTGTTGCATAACTATAGACGCACTTTTACAAAATTAGAAAAAATTTTTTTTTAAACTTAAATAAAATAAAATAACTTTTATAAATAATGGGTAGGGCCTCCCTTATTTTGAAAAAGTTCAAAAATTTTATCCATCACGCTGTTGATCAAAATTATTCGCAAGTCTTCATCGATTGACCGCCATTCATCGATAATCACTTCTTGGAAATAAAATAATGTTTGGTATTGGCGGTTTTCTGCATAGACACGACGAGTCAAGATTCCACACATGTTCTCGATATGATTCTGGTCAGAAATTTTAATATTTTTTAATTTTAAACATACTTGAGTACGGCGACTTTTATGAACTGGCGCGTTGTCCTGCGGAAAAACGAGTCCTTGATTGGTGCTGCTTTCCCAAAATTGCAATAATTTGTCTTCCAAGACTTGAACGTACTCCATTGAATTCATCCGACAACATGTAAATGTCAAATAAAGCATTCCGTGGCTATAAAATGTTTGTTTCATTCATAACAAAGTAATTACTTTCAGACGAAAATGTTAAAAATATAATTTTCATTTCAATTACATTTGAATATATTTCAATGTATTTTGAATTTATTTGACATAGTATTCAAAACATTACACACACATACACAAAATATGTATTTTGATTTGATGGAAGAAGCCACCTTGGGAAAAAATTGTAATCAGTTGGTAGCTGTGCCTTACCTTGTAATTATTATACCGTGGTTCATACTATAGTCAGGAGAAAAGGAATTATTTTTTCTATTTAGGTCCATATGTAATTCACGAAAATATATAAAGATTTTGGTGTAAACAAGAAACAAAAAGTTTGGAGAAATAAACTCTGATGACATGAATTAAGAATAGTGCTGTATGAACAGTTTAATTCATGTGCTTAATTGTGAGAGCCAACAACGTTGTTCAAATGTCCGTCAGAACATGGTTTAGTCTATGTCACTTTTATTTGGCTGCCCCTAGTCTTCTAAGATTAATTCAGGTTAACATAACTTTCTCCATATCAACAGATAGTACCTGACCAAACGGTAGAATGTAGTCCTGTTTTTTTTTTTAATTGCACATTTTTTTGACATTTAATTGTGAACAGCGGTGCTGATGCGACTACTTTATTAAATCTACCGTGCCATGTATTAAGAAGGAAATATATACAAGCCTGGCCCAAATTCAGGTCATCCAGAAGGCGAATTTCATGAAATACACAACCCCTTTTATGAAATGTCAATTTATAAATGAAATATCTGATTAAAACTTGATTTTGGACGCCGTTCTCCTTTCTTCGTTTACAATAAAAAACATATATGTTTCCCCCTTATTGTACGATACAACGAACAAATTGGTTTCCCCACTTCGAATCGCTGCATTTGAAAACTTCAAAGAGCTCAAGCTGATGTCGACGACTATATAATATGTGTATATATTAGCTCTGTCTGTTTACTCGATATTTGGTAACAATTGTTACCAAATGTTACTAAATGTTGTCTGTTTACACAAAAATCCAGTAAGAGAGAGTCAAGTGAGAGAGAAAGTTTGACAGTTCAACAACAAACTTACTGGAGTTTAATGAAAGAATTTTATCCAGTAAGATTTTGCAAACTAAGCGTTTTTGAATCAGCTGTTTTATGACCAAACACAAAAATTATTCAAAACATTTTTTTTAATTTGCAAAGTTAAATTTGAAGTTAAGTTGTATAAAAACTACAGAAAATGGAAGAAAATTCGTAAGTCTTGATTTAGATTAGGCGAGTTTACTTGCGGCAAGTCTTTGTTTGTAGGAGAGAGGGGCAAGGGGTATTGAAATGAAAAAAAATTGCCCGTACCTCCAATTTTCTGGCAATTCGATTTGTGTATTTCGTATTTGTTGACATTTTATATATATTTAAATGTGAAAAAACAACAAATAAAAAAATATTTTGGAAACCGAATTGCCTTGTATAGACGCATGGAGCAAGTTCAAAAGAGAACGATAAAAATTGCCGCAAGTAAACTCGCCTAATATAAATCAGGACTAAGTAATGCAAAGTTTTATTAAATTAGAAACTAATTCCTTATACATATATTTTTAGACAAGTTCCAGATAGACGGCGATGCATTGATGCAGGAAGCTTTAATGTTCTCGGGGAACATACCAAATAAATTTTTCTTTTATTATTCATTTTATTTTTAATATTAAATGCAATAAAAATAATTGTGTTTGTCTTTTGTTTGTTTCTTTATTTTGGCGCAAATCAAATGTTTTCTTGAATCAGCTGTTTATTTGCTAAATCTTACTAAATGTTGTCTGTTTACTTTTTTCAGTATTATCGCAAAAGAGAGTAAAAACGGCTTACTCTCTGAACTAGATCTTACTGAATAAATGTTACTGGAAAAGTAACCAGATTAGTAAAAAATGCATCAAACCGATGTTGCCAAGTGTGAATGGGCGTACACTGTTATCGGTTACTTAAAACTGATTACCGATTACCTTTTTTGAAAACAAAGGATGGAAACGACGTCACTATACGATTTGTTCCTATATTATTTATCTCATTAGTGTTGTTAATAGATCGGAGATATGTTTTGACTTGATTTTCTGCAATAATCTGTCGTTAAAGACTACACTTTAGATTTATTAATGCGCAGTATTTAAATCAGAAACTGTTTCCTACATTTCACCAAAGTCCCGACAGTTTGAAGGAGAAAGTTGAACATTTTGAAGCTATGTCGGACAACAGAATTGCAAGAGGAGAACAGGGTACCAAACAGCAATCCATGAGTGAAGAAACTGGAAATGGAGAAAATTCGCGTTGTGAAAGCGATGAGGAATACGCCAGTCCTCATAGCAATACTGTGGCCTCCCGTTTGTCCTACAAAGAAGCAATGAACACACCTTTGTCAACGACGGTTGGAGACACTAATGCAGCAAATGGGTTTATGGAAATGCCCGCATCCTCAACATGTATTGAAGGGGTTTCACCCATGGCCATGTACAACGAGGAGCGCATGAGACGGAAGTTGCAATTTTTCTTTATGAATCCCATAGAGAAGTGGCAAGCAAGAAGAAAATTTCCCTATAAATTCGTTGTGCAGGTAAGCTTCTGTAGGTTGTAACTTGAGGGTTTTTTTATCAAGGCAGGGACGCAACATTGAAACGCATATGTACACGAACATGTTCATCCACGACAATATAACTTGTGTTCATCGGAAGTCCAGAGACAAGGCAAAGTAAACACTGGTTGTACATTTTTGGGGTGGGTGGCATCAACTACGGCGATAATTCATGCTTATCGCGCTTTGCAAGCAAGCAAATAAACGACACTGTTAAGAGTCTGTGCGAAGTGTTTGTCATATTCCCCTCCCCAAATACAATATTTTACATTATGTGTATTTGTAAAAAAAATCGACGATAATAACAGTACGTTACCTCAGTAAGCGGGATGGATACATACGTGCTCTGAACATACTGCAACTCAAATATCTTTACAATTCTTAGATATTTCACAAGTCCCAAAAAGATTCTAACTAACGTGCTCACAGGTTGGAATCAATCGTATAGATGATAACTACTAGCTTTGTTTTAGTAATTAGTCACTCGTGACTAATTCGTCGTAGTACGGAGCTTGTTATCATTAAGAAAATCAAGACAAATTACTGAATAAATACTTCGATAATAATTTATGTTTGATCAACGATTTGTGTAACAGAATAGATAGAACTTTTTAAGTACAGGATCTGAGATTGGTAGGGCTCTGAATACTGAATAGAACATTGAAATGACTAAATATTTATTGTGATGACTTTTGAAACGGTAAATTTTATAATGTAATGTTCTCTCTTTCAGATCGTAAAAATTATTCTGGTAACAATGCAATTGTGTCTGTTTGCGCATTCGCGCTATAATCACATAAATTACACATGGGACAATCGTATTGCTTTCTCTCATCTGTTCCTGAGGGGTTGGGACTCCTCCAGAGAAGTCGAATCGTACCCTCCATCTGTTGGCCCATTTGCCCTTTATGAGAAAAGCGAGTTTTTTGAAACAATTGACTATGCGATTAACGGGTACGCCACTATGAATCGATCTATTGGGCCCTATGACTATCCGACGAAGGATAACCGCATGGCTCCAATGAAATTGTGCCTTTACAATTATCGCGATGGGATAATTTTTGGATTTAATGAATCCTACATATTTAATCCGGAAATAGAACTGGTGTGCGAGTCAATTCCTCCGAATGTCACAGCGATAGGCGTGCAAAAATATCTGGAACAAAGGGGTGTTGATGTCAGTTTCTCTTCGCTAGTCAAGGCCACCTTGGTCTTTGCAATAAAGACAGTTAATTTTAAGGCTTACGGCGGCCCACTTTCTGCACCAGATTGTTTCAAATTTGATATAACGATGTTCTTTGACAATCGTGATCACGATGGCCAAATGCTCTTGTCACTGGATGCAGATGCAACGCGTCTTCACTGCAAAGGAGATGTAGACTTCATATCCGACGCCGAATACGATGCCATACTTAGGAGTATACTGAACATATTTGTACTGTTGGTTTGCATGCTGTCATTTGCACTGTGTGCCCGAGCACTGTACAGGGCCTATCTTTTGCGTTGCCAAACGGTTAACTTTTTCCGAGCTCATTTCAACAAGGAACTGAGCTTTGATGGTCGACTTGAATTTGTTAACTTTTGGTAAGTGTAAAATTAAGAAGTTTCTTTTGTATTTCAACTTCTGGTTACGTTTATTTTAGGTATATTATGATTATCTTCAACGATGTATTGCTGATTTTGGGATCTGCATTGAAGGAACAAATCGAAAGAAAGTTTTTGGTCGCAGATCAATGGGACACATGTTCGCTATTTTTAGGCATTGGCAATCTACTTGTGTGGTTTGGCGTGCTACGTTACTTAGGATTCTTCAAAACCTACAACGTTGTTATACTGACGCTAAAGAAAGCTGCTCCCAAAATATTCCGCTTCCTTGTAGCCGCCTTACTTATCTACGCTGGCTTTGCATTTTGCGGGTGGTTGATACTTGGGCCCTATCACATGAAATTTAGATCATTGGCTACTACATCCGAATGCCTCTTTTCCTTAATAAACGGCGATGATATGTTCGCAACATTTGCCACGCTTTCGTCTAAAGCCAGTTGGTTATGGTGGTTCTGTCAGATATATCTGTATTCGTTTATATCACTTTACATCTATGTAGTTCTATCCCTATTCATATCAGTCATTATGGATGCTTACGACACTATTAAACGCTACTATCGTGATGGCTTTCCACTGTCCGACCTGAAGGAGTTTGTCGGAACACGTACCGAAGAGGATCTCACTTCCGGCGTCTTTATGAATAACATGGATGATTTCGAGCAAAGCAGCTTTATGGACGTTATTCGTAACGTTTTCTGTTTTGGTTGCTGCAGAAATGCCAATGCATCTTCCACCTCCGGCCCTACAGGTTACACAAGCCTGACAAGTATTATTAAATAAGGGGAGCATCCTCAAAACCTTTTTTGAACTGGATTCATATCGATCCAAGTTATATACCATTGTTATCTAGCCCAATGTTTCAGTAGATGTGTAAGATATGTGTGTACATAGAAAGTACTTGTATGATATGTATTTAAGAATCTGTTTCCAACTATTGTATGTAGCCTTCGAAAAACAGCTGTATGTACGAATAATATACATAATATATAAATATAAAAAAATGATCAATTATAAATACTATAATAAGAATGAAGCGTTGGCGGTTTATTTGGGATACCACTTGTATTTTGTTTTTATTCAAATCCAGTCAGTTGTGTTTTTATAAAACAAAGATTTATGGCTGGGGAAAATATGCCATTATTAAGCTATGGTTATAGTTTGGGATTTCGAAGTGAATTATTGATAATGTGTTTGACCAGGGACGTACGCAGGGGGGCGGCCCGGGGACCCGAAATGAAATTTAAATTTATGTTTGCAACAGCGAATTTTTTCATTTTGTACTACCGGGGAATGAAGAAATTTATTCTTAACTAAGGGGTGAACAACGAATGGGAGAGTGAACAACCGTTCATATATTCACCCTTATTAGGAGGATGTTGTTGTGTCGAAAATTATTCTATTTGGCGACGGCGACTCAACACAATTTGTATGTTCCTGTACGGCAAGGGTCTACTAATTTTTGTAAAAAAAATCGCAGTAAAAATAGTAGATACCTGTTGTACGGGAACAGACCAAATATTGCCATTTATCGATCATGTTATGGTACATGTTAACATGTTTTGGAATTCTGTAGGCAAAATTGCCGTTGATTTTGCACTTTATAAGAACATTTGGGACTAGATACAAAAATGGTTTATATTTAGTCTGAAAATGGTTTAACAACAATATTTTCGGCGATAAGTGAAACCAGCGAGTTTTGCTTGTTTATAATTATTTATTCAAATTTGTAAATATTCATACTTTTAATATGGCAATTCATCATTTGTGAATAATTACAAAAATAACTAGAATCGATGCTATTAGACGTATAATTTTGTTTTTACATAACATTTACATATACAACAAAAACAAGAGATTAATCAGAGTTCAAAAGCAAATAACGAAATGGTTAATAGACAATCCAACATTCGGTATCGATATTGTTGAACTTTTTACCGCCTTGCGGAACTTTCATACCATAACAATTACTCTGATAATGTAATGGTACTCTGGTGGAGTGGACGATTAGCATTGATCGTTATTTTGCTTCAAGAAATACAATGATTTTTTTATTTGTTAAACACGAATGCATATTAAAATTAAGTTTCATCATTACTTCGACAATCTTGCATTCACATCCTCTTGTTGTCCCTACAAATGTAAGTAAATGTAGGACAGTCATCTTAAAAACTAGAAAACAATATTATTATATTTATGTATATTTAATTATTACGTACGACGATATGTAAAGAGTAAACACGTCCGTAAAATATAAACTAGATGACCACAAGCGCAGCACACACACACATAAATAATACGCTCGTGCGATCTCACATTATATAACAGAAAAAAGAAAAACACAAAGGCAATAGGTTTGGTAAATAGTAGTCGCCCATGCGACCTCGCATTATATAACAGAAAAAAAGAAAACTACAAAAGCAATAGGTTTGAGGCTCGAGTTGATTGTATATACAGTCCGAATCGTCGGAAAATACGGATGATATGCATACATATTGTTGCTACACTCTCACTCACTATGGCACACTTACAAATCTATTTTCTTTCCAACCAAAAATATGTTTCACGAATACTAGGTCACAGAATGTGTTATTATTTAGACAGTGCTGAACTGTAAAATATAATGGGGCCTATTATATTTCAAAAGCATACGTTCCAAAGGTTCCCTGTTTGTATATATGCCAATGGGTTAAGGTTATTCTTCGAGTTGGCATTTCAATTATCAAGTGTGTATGGAGACGCACGTACCGATATAACTAATATGGTTAAGAGTAACTCGTAGATGGTGGTGGAGTAACGATTTTGTTTGTAATGGACTGCCCATTTGTGGAATTGTTAAAATACGCTAAGTGAAATCAATGTGGTCTACGTGGAGTAAGCAATACTTCTTTAATTATTTGATACATACATAAATCTATGTACAGGGCACATTAACTGCACCATCATTACTAACTAGAAAATAGTTTTTTTTTAGAACAACGTAACTTAACTATTTTTTTATCTAATTAAGCATACAATACGATGGCTGTTCGATTACTACCTTGCATATTTCTATACGTTTGTGTCTACAAGTACAGAAGAAGTGATCGAACAATATAGCATAGCTAATTACTAATAGTTAAAATTATAATTATTATACATATCTATTATGATTTTAGTACTTCTAGTGAATTCTGGGTGAGGGGATGAGAGTTAGGGATAGGGAGATAGAGGAGGATGCTAACATAAGTTCTAATTACAATAATTAATCTTGTTAAGAAAAAATACATAATTAGTCTAGAGACTGTGACTAGACACAATTCTGCGAACAGGGATGAAGGTTCCAACAGGAAAGCGTACATTGGGTGTGTTACACTATACTTTCGCGGTCTCGGGATGAGTTGCTCAGGTCGCTAAATCCAGGAACGCCCCTTACAGATCCTGGCAGGATGCCTACACGACGCAGTGAGGCATTGTTTGTTCTTTTGCCGCTGCCGTGAAATATGCTCACCAAGCGATCCAGCAAAGATGATGAATTTCCGTCTCCCGGTGCATTGCGGTGCGATGATTTTTTGTTGTTTGTTGTCTTTGTCGAGCTGCTACTTGCCTCAGCTTGTCGGCCGTCGATGTCTGCAGCATAGCTTACACTATTGACCGTATGGTGTTGAATTCCTTCGAGCGAATGCCAACGCTTCGCCTTTTCTAGAGTGGGTGTGGTGGTTAGTGAGGCCTGACGTTGAAGCAGCGGCGCTTGGACGTCTTCCTCGATAGTCATGCCGCCATTGCAATTGTTGTTCAGGTGTTTATAGGGTAGCATTGAAACGCCCGCGTTGGCCGAGCTGAGGCCGGAGATGGAGAAACCACCACCACTACGTCGCCTATTAAGCACGGATGATCCAGCGGGAGCGATAGTGACGGAGTTTCTTTTGTTGAGGTCACCATTATCATGAGTCAACAGGAGCCCAATATCGTCTTCGAATTCCTCCGAAGAGTTAGGTTCGCCGACGGGTTCTATGCATCTCTGTTCGCTGTTTGAGTGAGAACTTTGTGCTTGGGATGACGGCAAGACTGCGGTCCCATTTGGATTATCGCTTATGAGCGATACGCCAACATCCAAAGACCTGGAATTATTTTTACTAAGTTTGGATGGAGGCAGTATCTTTGGTTCATGCCGTCTTCGCAGCTGGAAGGGGATGGGATCGAGGGATCGTGCTTCTCGCAAATTATGATGAGGAATCACAGAAGTGCCACTTATATATCCACTACCATAGTAGTCCTGAGATGAGTTTGGATAGTTGACAATTCGATGTGGGCGCACCATCGCCAGAGGTTTTTGTGAAAGACTAGCAATAAGGCGTGATGTGTAAAATGAAGAGCTGATGTCACCATTGACGCCCACACCACTGTTATCACAGTTTGTTTCGGAATGCTCCAGAGTGCTGTGCGATATACGCGAAGGCTCCGGCAAGGTATCAGAGACACCGACGCCACAACTGAAGCTCATGTGCTCCGGTATGCTATTGTCTTGAAAACTTCCCACCCCGTTTGCCGGTGAACGCTCGTAACGCTTTGAAGACAAACGGGGCGAATCGCGTGGCACTTGATGCGTAGAGCCTTGTAGACTGTAATTAGATTCCATATCAGCTCTTGGAACACTGCTAGACTGTCGCCTGGATCCTCCTCCGGCAAAATGCATTCCCACAATACTGGGCTGCCTGGAATCTGAGTTCAGTTTAGGGCTCTTTCGCGGGCGGCAAAACAATGGAGGGGGCAAATCTGTCATATCCACTGGTTTCTTTTGTATGGCCTTTTCTGTGGCTCCCACGAGCCAGTAAGTGACCACCTCGCCCTTGCCCTTCATATTGACTAGACCTCGTTTCTCTGTTATATAACCGTCCAGTTTATCTAATGCTTCCTTGCATTTGCTTGAAATATGAATCCTTAACGCCTCACCATTCGACTCCATTCGTGAAGCTGTATTCACAGTGTCCCCAAAGAGACAGTAGCGAGGCATTGTGAGGCCAACAACGCCAGCAACCACTGGCCCTGTGTGCATTCCAATGCGCAACTTAAGCGTCTCGTTTGGTCGGTGAGCAATTCTGTGCTGTTTTACCGCTTGTAATAACTCCAACGACATTGACGCGATTTCGCCTGCATGTCTATCGCCATTCTTTATGGGTAAGCCCGACACAACCATGTATGCATCCCCTATAGTCTCCACCTTGTAGACATCGTAACCACGAATTATGCGATCGAAGACCGTGTACAAGTCATTTAGGAAATTCACGACTTGTAGCGGTGTACTCTCCGCTGACATGGCAGTAAACCCTACAATATCGCTAAAGTATATGGTGACCTGTTGATAGGACACAATTATATTAAATTAGAAATAACGTACTAGATGCGTGACAGATCTTTGAATTAAAATACAAACCAAATCATACGAAACCGGCTCCACGCCTAAACCCATCGTAAGTTTTTCCGCCACGGACTGTGGCAACATACGATGCAGTAGGTCCTCTGTCTTTCTCTTCTCTTCACACAATAACCGAGTGCGTTCCGTGACAATATCTTCCAAATTGTTAGCGTACTTCTCCATCATCTCCATCATTTGATCCATTATGTTTTTCGTTTTACCGCCCCTCATCTTCTTTAGACGAGTTCTGAAAGTATTTGCAATTGAATAAAAATTGTCCTTCCAAAACTAGCAGACATCATCTTAGTATACCTTATTGTGGGAAAGTCTGGCCTGACTTCTGGATCCTCATGCCAACAGTCTGTTATGCAGCTGAGAACGTAGTCCGGGCATAGCTCGCCCTCAATAATGCATTCAAGTTCCGGTCGGAAAGGCAAATGTCCTTTGATTGGTTTCTTCTTAACTAAATCCACAATTTCCTTGGGTTCGTAGAGTGTTTGTCCGAAGGGTCCCTTTCTACTGAATATTTCGTACATGATAATGGCAAAGGCATACACGTCCCCCTTCTGGGAACCATAAACGTAAGGGTTTCTCAGAAGCTCTGGCGCTTTCCAGAATTGATCTAGAATTAAAAGAAGCAGATAGATTTGAAATAAGGTACGTTATGGGGCTTAAATAAAAGTTGGGAAACTTACTCCTATAGTGTTGGTGTTCGCCAATAGATTCGTTTTCGGCACAGTGCCTTAGATCGTGCAGTCCAAAGTCCGTGACCTGCAACATCCATCTCGATGTGACCACACAGTTGGATGACTTCAGGTTCCCATGGAAAACCAACGATGAATTGTGTATATAAATCATACCCTAGAAAGGCAAAGTACATTGTAACTAGTTCCTTCAAATGGTTCTGCCCCATACAAATACCTTTATGAGATCGTGAATTAGCGACGCTATGAACAAATCGTCCAACTTAATGTCTTCATTTTCAATTATGTCGTATAAGCTTCCCTTGGCACAGTAGTCTGTGACTAGAAGGATTCGCATTGGCTCAACACAGGCGCCAATGAAACTATTGACATTGTCATGGCGCAGTTCGCGCAGTAATCGCATTTCCTTCATGATTTCCCGTGACATATCCTTCTTTCTCAGAAATTTCAATTCCTTAATACGCACCACAGCTCCGCGTAGTCTGGCTGTCGAAGTAAATACCTGGTTCGAGCAGCGTGAACCAAATGATTGGGCGCTCACCAGGCTCAACTATATTAAAAAGGAAAATATATATATATATATTGCGACAAACTCGGAACCTTGACCCAAACCATACCCCCACATACCTTACTTGGCGATGAAACAATGTCATTTCCAGCATAGCCCTTTATTTCGGAGATATCGATCTTCCACAACAAACCCTCGATTTCAAGTTCGATTTTCCATTTCCGGTATATACTCATAGTTACTACACCCGCACAAAAGAGTAGCAGGCCCAAAATGCCGGCGGCAACCAACGAAGTAATATGCCGATCGTCCTTTTTACACAGCTCGTTGGCAAATCCACACATGGGCTCGTCAAACGGACGATCACCACCCGAAGGCCAGTCCACTCGCATAGATCCATTGATAAGTTTGTATTCCTAGAAATCAGTAATCAAATAACATAATTGAATTTGAACCTCTGAAGCAGAACATTTTCCAAATGGTTTGAGAATAAAAACAAAGATAAAAAAGTGACGACTCACTCACTGGAATATCAGTTCCTTGTTGGAAATGTGCGACTGGTACCATGTGAAAATTGCATTGCAAGTTTTCCCGATATGAATATTTAAACGGTTTGTAGGCCAACACCGAGAAGTTACCTTCCGAGTCGCCATTGTTGTCTATTTTGATTGTGGCTCCCGTAACACCTTTGGGTTAAAAAAATCAAATAAATTTGCATGACATTCAACTCCACACAGAGTACAACTTACTCTTGTATGTGCCATTTTTAATGATAGTTTCAATAATTTTCGCTCCGTCGCTGGCAATGTTGTAAATCTCTTCAGGGGTCAGGGGACGATCTCCAGTTGAATTGCGCAGTAATTCGTCCAAGGCCCACGCATAAAGCTTGGCAGAGTCGTACAGGTAGGCGGCATATATAGAAACAAACTTTTAACACATACAGAGGTCACAGTGGCCATTCCGAAGGAAACATGTAAATAGAGGAATTTTCCGAAATGAACACAGGGTGCCGTTAATCATGAACACACAAAGTAAAGGTGCATGTCTCTCGCTCAGAACAAATAATTCCAAGCAAAGAGAACGTCATCAACTGTTGTGGATTAGTACCACCTATACCACAGCCACGCGCTCCAACAATATCAAGGTTTCCACAAGTATTTTTTTATTCGCAAGGACAGTTAGAACATTTCTCTGCCTTGACAATCATAAATTGATTTGTGTATGTTTTCCCTGTGAGGGATGGGCTGGCAGAGGCGAATTGTTCGCAGACGTGGCCGGGAGTAGTGGAAAGTGAATAGTGTACCTACCTTGATAAAATTATTGCTGTGAAACAACTGTGGCAAAGTAAAGTTGAATGGCTGCTTCAGGTTGTACTCTCTTACTTTGGCCGTGAAGTTCTCATAGCTGTCCGTAGGCGGGGTGGAAGCAACAACCAGCAAACTTCTGGCTCGCTGAATGAATGCTTCCGTTTCACCACAACTCGTCATGTGTTCCACTTGCTCGGGCTTTCGCAAATACTTTTCGGCTTCTCTAAGTGATAAGTGATGTTGTTTAAATAAATACCACACAGACTAATCGGACAGTATTGTGAGTACTATATGGGACGGGTACTTACTTCGGCGTATAAGTCATCATATCGACAAAAATCACCATATATTCGCCTTTAGAGAACAGATTCGCCGTGTCCATGGAAGCCATGAACTCCACAAGAGCATTGGCCGTACCGAGAAAGACGTAGATCCGCGTGCGATTCATTGTGTTTTGAACAATCTGAAAATTAGACACATTCGTTTGAAGGCCTCCTTCCATCTGCATTTTCCTGCGTTAGCTTTATTTATCAATGCATACCTGATACCAAAATCCCGTACGGCAACATGCCAACATCTCTTCACAGCACTTGGCCATGTTGTCTATAAAGGATTCTTTGTGGTTAATAGTCATGTTCTTTTTAATAGCCTCCGCCTTAAGTAGTTCGGCGACCATAGTCCAACCTTCGTCATGTAGAATGGAAAATTTTTTCCAGCCGTAGTAGCGTAGCAAAGAAATCACAGATTTTATGACCTGTGTGGAGTATTGCAAATATTGTTCTGGTTACGGCCACAAGACAAATTCTGATACAAACCTACCTGTGTATCTGGGGGCTCGGTCCGGGCAAAAGTCGGTATTGACGATGCTTTGTTTTCGGGGCATTTCTGAAATGCAACATACGGTTATATGGACAGCCCTAAAAATTTGACGTACTTTGCTACCGTAAATACTCACATAGGATATCATTGGAATGTTACGACTTTGAGTGACAATCGCCTCCACATAACAGTGACCTTCGGGTCCGAATATCATTGCAATGCCATCACAAATCATTTCCGTTATAGCTTTGGTGGCAAGAACTGTATCACCTTTTGTGTCATTCCAGCGCAGTGTTAGCTGAACATTGGGCAGTAGGCTGGTGTCGTTGTTGATCTACGGAGAGCAATTCAGGTGGTGGTATGACACCTTTGAGTAAGCCTTAAATAGACACATGCACAATACACACTCACCTCTTCTAAGGCCATGGTGAGGGCGCCGGAAATAGCCAACCCCTGCTTATCTTTCAGCTCGCCTGTCAATGCCGTGAGATAACCGACATTGATCACAGTCCGATCTCCGATACTGCGAACACATCTCACGGTTGGAATCAGAACTACTGCCACCGAGAGCAAATGTAAGATGATAAAGGGCCACCGCTTCATGGCCCCTTTCGCCGGGGCCGATCAGCGCGACACCTATAGGTAGCAATGGTATTCACTGAAAAACGGAAAATTGGATCTGTGTCATCAGTACCAGCGTATGAGCAATGCCATAACTAGTGTCCTACTCTAGAAAATAAATACAGCTATTTTTCGCACATATTCCAAATTTAAACTATTTATTATAAATAAGCCAAATATAAAAGCAGTAAATGTGTCGGGGGATTTTTGAGCCGATCAATCGTTCAGTGCAGGTGATTCAAGATTGCGAGCATAGATTTCCTTCGTTAAGAAGGATATTTCAAACAGGGAAGGGCGACTGTGATAGATATCTGCCAACATAGCGACGAACCATCGTACAAGTCTGTCGTAGTAGTCCACATTGCAAATTGCCACGACGGCTCCCGCTCTTCGACCATGTTGATGCGAGTCGAAAAACGATGCTGTATTGCTGGGGAAATCTAAAACTATGACTGTTGTGCGACTATTGGCTATTAGGACAGCAAACAGGTTTTTAGCATGCGCATTCCCATTAGGCCTCTTAAATAATTGAATTCCGAGTTTTAATACTTGAGCAATGCGCGAAGATACCGATTCGAAATAGCTGTGTGTATTTGGGTTAGCAGTGAGATGGGTGTAAAACCATTCTTGCAAATTGAATCCTATATGTGTTTGAGCATTTAGCGCATCGATGGCCTCCGGTATATTAAGATTTGGGTCTCTTCTGACATCGGGTAACTCTGTCGCGTGCTCAAACAACTGCCAATACACTTTGTTGCCTTCGTTTATAGCATCGCCAAATATTTGAACGGCTTTGGCAGGCAACGCCACAGAGTCATTGTTATGGAACACAGTTTCCTTGGACAATTTGTTAGCCAGTATTAGAGATATTAACGTGCAAGAGTTTGTACCACCTTTTCGATATTCTCCATACATCGACTGGCAAAATTCCTTTGGAAACCACCAGATATTAACGTTGTCGTTTTCTTCGAAGACCGCCATGGTTTGAACAAATGCTTCATATATTCATTTATTTCCTTGATCTGCGCTCAGTTTTAATTTGGCTGACCGAAAATCCGAATTCTGTATTACATATTTCTTTAATTCAGATTCGAAAAATAATAATTTTACGAAAATGATTTTGCTTGCAGACCAACTGTTCTACATATTATTATTTCAATTTCATATTATTGAATTTCAAAATTAAAATTCTATGGCATACTAATACATAAAATGTCTGTTCCAGAACCTGCAAGAATGTACAAATTTGTACTACGATAATACCAAAATTACTTTAGTCAATTTTATTTGCGGCAATTGTCACTTTGACGAGCCAAATGTAAAACAGGACTAAAAAATGTTCCTTTATAATTTCGAAAAAAAAATACAAATTAGTAGATTTTTGCAGTACGGAAACAGACCAAAGTACTACAAATACAAAAACGTTCGAACTACTTCTAATATATTCTTATGCCATGTTCTGACGGGCATCCGAACAACGTAGTTCGCTCTCAGAATTACGTACATGAATTAACCCGTTCATACAACACTATTCATAATTCATGTCATCAGAGTTTTTTATTTCAAACTTTTTGTTTCTTGAATTACACATGTATCTAAATAGAAAAAATAATTCTCTTTCTCCTGACTATAGTATGAACCCATATCTATTTACTTTTAATTCATGTTTTCCATTTTTTCTGAAAATATTGTGGTTTTAAATATATTTTCGAATTTTCTCAATTCAAATGTCACATATGTATATGTGACATTTGAATTAGGGATGGGACAAAATTCTTCGTTTTCCAGAGAGTTATTCGAATTGAACAACGTAGAAAAGTCGGTGTTCGCTCAGACAATTTTGTATGGGGAACTATGTAATTACTTCATAATTAGGGGTCGAACAGCGAATGAGAGAGCGAACGACGCTCGTCTGTACATGGCATTATTTAACAATACAATTATATAGGATTATATTCGTTATTATGTTTGCTATTTATTTAAATCAGTCCTAAATTGAGAGCGAACGTGACGGGACCGTATCAACAAAAAACACTACTGACGAAAAAGGAATACGTGTTTGCGCATAGACCCTAAGATGCGGTATCGTAACAAATGAGACGACATTTGCGGCAAATGCAAAATCGGCAGAAGAATCATTTTAAAGATTTCTCTATATTAATTTTTACAAAAATCAAAAATAATTCTGATGGCAGAACTCGTACAATTTGAATACGAAGCGATTTAAATAATTTGGACTGTATCCACAAATTAATACTGTACACAAATTTACCCTCTTCTCTGTATTGAAAAACTCATAACTTTACCATTTTTTTTCTTTTGATATGTGACGTCCATAATTAGGTTTTGTCATATGAAATATAAGCTCTAAAACATTTTGTTGTGGGCAACATTGGGCCACAAAGGGTTAAGAAATCATATGATTTACATTTACTAAACACATTGGGCAAAGTTTTGAACAAAAATCAAATAAATGCCTAATAATAATAAACTACAAAAAAAATGGTTTAAAAGTCACCGAGAAGAATGAAACTATTGCCTTGAATTGCTGAAAGACATAAAGTGTGTCAATTGGTGATCATTTTGGCTACAAAAACAGTGTTCCGTTGTTGCCAAACCTCAAGTTATCCAATAGATTTTTTTTTAATTTACTCCACAAAAAGAATTTGAAAATTACCTAAAAAGGATATAAGATTGCAGGCCAAGAAACATCACATTTTAGAAATGAAGCAGATAAGTATGAGGTTCACTTTTTGCTAGAATTTTTGCAGGGGTATTTTAATTTTTTTCAGGTATTGTATTTGTATTTTTTGTATGAAATTACGCATTTTAAGGGAATGCAACACAAAAATCGGTCTGTTTTTATTTATTTATAATATCCGCCAAAATGACGTTCACGCTTGATTGTGTAAACCGAAAAAAGTACGTACAAATAGTGTATTACGAAGGTTTTCATTTGGCCATAGTAACACTAGAAAGACGGAAACTTTGTATATATCTATATGTTGCCTAAAAGAATAGCCACCCTCGCGATTGCCATTGATAACATTTTCCCACCGGGCACTGCGGAACATGCCTCTTTTTTGACTTGGCATTCTCTTTGTTTGCAGCAAGATTATTCTCTCTTCGTATGCATAGTCGCACCGTTCTGTGAGAGCATGATTATCATTACGAACTGAAAACATTGTACGTGACGATCGTCGACCAACACTCGCTCACAACGAATGAGTTACGAATAACTACGACTATTGCAGAAAATGGCTAAAAATAAATGTGGACGGTAATAAAACAATAATAAGTAATAAACAAAAGAATATTTTGCGACGTGATAAAACGCTGTGTACGACAACAACGACGACTTTTAGATTTTATTGCCGCCCCGCCGTCAAGAAATTTACTACGACGCCCGGTTGTTGGAATGGCTTGAAACAAATTTTGAAAGGCACAAAATCCTTCGACAGGTCCTTTGGAAAATGACAGATACAAGTATTTCCGACCAGGCACAGCACCACCATTAACAAAATATATTGAGATTCGGGTGGCTTGTAAGAAATGCGACAAACGTTCATACGTAAGTTGATCGTATGCACATAGTACTTGTTAGTTTTCGAGTGAACCTGACTACGTATATAGATATGTGACTACTACTGAACAGTGTTTACTCACTCTATACATGTGTGTTTAAAAACGAAGTATGCAGATGTGTGCATGCCTAGTAATATCGACTGTCATGAGTTTCTTGTTTTGCTTAAAACAAAAATAATAAAAACCTGATATGAAATAAAAATAAACTTTACATCTAAAAATAGCACCAATCGGAGAGTGATCGTTGTAAAGTAGTATTTCTGCTCTGCTCTAAAATAAGAGCAACGGCAGACAATAACAAAAACAAACAGCAGCCTAAGCAGTATCCAACAACGATGCAACGAGCACTACACGGCACACAAGTCGAAGCTGTCAACACACAGATCGGTCCGAATTACTTATACCCTTCGCCAAGAAGAACACATAAACCTAAAACATTAAAGTGGTAAAGTCTAGTTTATTGGAAACATTCAAAACACATCAATTAATCATATAAAATCATGTGTTACCCCAAATGGGCATTGTTGGAGCGAAATGTCCATGAATCCAGTTTAACACTAAACATTCAAAAAGGTAAATCCCATACTATTATTTCTACACAGATGGGCCTAAAAAAATCTGAGTTTTTTCAGTTGCTGTATAAAGTAGGGATAAGTAAATCGACTTTCGATTAATCGACTTTTTGTATTGAAAAGTCTTAAAGTCGAAGTCGACTTTTGATCTGTGAGAAAATCGTAAAGTCGACTTTTCAAGATCGACTTTCGATTTTCTTCATAAATACTTGGATTTTTAACACAAAGCTCAATTTGCCCAAAAAATTCACTTTCCGGAACTTTACATAATCTGTTAACAATAATTCATATAAAAAATCAAATTTTTAGTCGATTTTGCAGAAGTCAGTAAAAGTCGAAAATCGATTTCGAACAGCTTTGACAAAATCGAAAGATCGAAAAGTTGACTTTTTAGTCAAAGGCAAACATCGAAAAGTCTAAAAATCGACTTTTTGGTCAGAGGCAAAAATCGAAAAGTTTAAAAGTCGACTTATGTGCTTGACTACGTATCCCTAGTATAAAGCTAATGCTAATATTTACTGATCCTGCATTTCAAACCCTGTCGATAGAACAATGGCATTGTTAATAACATTCCCATCAATAAATAAATACAGTAAAATCTCGATAATCCGGATTATCCGGACTGCATTGCACAACTCATTGCGTTTTCTATAATCCGGATTGTTTGTCTCTCTTTGACTATATAATCCGGATTATGTAAAAAAAATATTTTTATGAGTTTTTTTTTGTATAAGAATCGCAGCTTGACAAAAACCTACATTTAGAATTATCAGTGTAGAGGTCATGTAAACTTGTAAAGCTTATATTTTTGCAATGGATTGGGTTCTGTAATCAATTATCCGGATAAGCGATAACGGTATCAAAGAATAATGTAATCAAATGGATGTTCATATTATTTAGATGCATTGCGAATTCTGTTGCGTTTGTTAATGAACCCAAGTCTGAAGTAAAACAAAGTTTGCCAACAAGAAAAGTTGAAACTCATTACAAGTTGGAATTCTCCTTTGTATAAAATGCGTCAGCAGAGCACAGGCCAGCCCATTAAAACAGGTCGCGATATCATATTCCGGTCACAGCGTACTTCCAATTTGAAACATGCTAACACAGGCACGGCCATGGAAGCCTTACAGTTTCACTTTCATTTCGTTGGCATTATTATGCGACCACTTCGCGAATTACACACTCACAACAAGGAGAAACATCTATCAAGTTTGCCAATTGAGAGACTGGGCAGGATATTTGACATTTCGTTTTTTAAACGATTTGTGGATTTTAGGAATAGTCGGCGGACTGGTGGCACCACCTTCACTAAATAAGGCATTCCATTCGAAATGCTTTCAACAAATTGAAAGAAGACACAAGACGCCGGAAGCGTTACCTACGGTAAAATTGACCACTATCAACACTGGATTTCTCTGCAACATGAGTACCAGTTTTATAGTGCGCTAGCTGTAGGTTGTCATACATAATGACTATAACCGACCATCTTCGTGCTTTGGGGCATTTACACCGCGGACCAGGTTGCATTACGTGTTTCTGTTGTCTCACATGCGTTGCGTCGGACGATGTCAACATTAACTGCACATGTATATGTGTGCACCGCGACTGCAAAAGTGTGGCTCACATGTCGGTCGTCCTATTCAGCAAGTATTTCCCCACGGTCTATTTTTAGAAAATCCAGTTTTTGGCAGTAATGATGAACGTAGTGGCGTGAACACTTCTGATATTTCTGATATGCAAACAGTCCGTTCCGCACCAAATACAAACGGCAAATGGCATTGAGAATTACGTGCAACGCAAAATCAAATGGAGCTATACGCAAGTTTTATGGGC